CTGAGGGCAGCAGCGGGCAAGACAGGAGAGGTTTCCTATGCCATGTGGGTTACCTCCCTGCAAGGGGATTGAACTTGTACTGCAGTGGCTGTGGATTGCTTCATAGTGCTGTGCTTTAACCTGTTGTGCCACTAGGGTGGGCCCAATTATTTTCTTTTTAAAACTTCTGGTTATCTGAAGTTATTTGACTATTCAATTTGAATTAACAGTTTTCTTATTGATGTATAATTTGGATACTATAAAATTTGTCCTTTCATGTGTACAATTCAGTGGTTTTTAGTGCTTCATGGAGCTGTGTAATCATCACCAATCTTTAATTCCAGAACATTTTCATCACCCCAAAAAGAAACTCTTTACCTTCTAGCAGTCACTCTGCAGTCTCTTTTCACAGTCCTCGATAGCCACTAATCTGATTGTCTCTGTGCATTTGTATACTTTGGAAATTTCATTTAAATGGAACCATAAGTGGCTTTTTGTGCATGTCTCTGTTCACTTTGCATGTTTGCAAGGTTCATCTATATTGTAGCATGTTGTCAGTACTACTTTTTGTGGTTGAATAATGTTCTACTGTACATACACACAGAGGACATTTTTACATACATACATTATTCATTACTTGCTAGATATTTGGGTTATTTTTTGCTTTTTGGCTATTTTTTTTAAAGATTTATTTATTTATGCATACAAGAAATGGGATACAGGCCAGAGGTACAGGTGGTGAGAGGATTCTCCAGAGTCAGAGTGGGGAGCAGAACAGGCATCAATTGAAATACACTGAAGGGAGCAGCAGGATAGACAGGAGAGGTCTCCTGTGCCATGTGGGTGACCATCCTGGCCAGGCATTAAACTTGTGCTGCAGTAGCTGAGGACAGCTTCATAGTGCTGTGCTTTTAAAACCCTTGCACCATGAGGGAGACCCCGCTTTTTGGCTGTTATGTGTATATTCGTATTTGCTATGTTGTCAACAACAATTGATGGAGACGTAATTCAAAATTATGGCGGGAAAGAAACTAAACCTCTTACTTGGATCTTGTTCTACTGTTTTTGTTGTTGCCATGTATGTTATATAGTTTATTTAAAAAAGTTAAATAGAAAATGTAATCTCTACATGGTAATACAGATTTAACAATGTCAGGATGGTAACATAGTTATAAGAAGAATTATTCCAAGTAACTTTGAAACAATATTTTGATTGTATATCCCTGTTTAAAATTTTAAACTTCATTAAATTTGGTTAGTTTTTTTTTTTTAGAGATATCATATGGTAGGAAAAAACTAACAAACACATTAGCCAATGGCAGTATTGTTAATGTCATTAGCAAGCAAGAATTTAAGGGTGAGAATAGATCTGAAATAAGTAAAAACATGTATTACTGAAGTGGAAATAACAGTATGAACTTTGGGTTTAACTTTCTACTTCACCCACTGAAGAATCTTTGAAGTAATGACTAGTAAAAATAAATACTTCTGGATTGCAGATTTTGGCCTTTAGATACCATTTTGGCAAAAGGAATAAAGATTCCTCAAACGTGACTGATTCCTGAAGTGGATCAGGAAATGTGTAAGATGAACCGGGGCACTTTGTGCCTGAAAGCAAGGAACCTATTAGAGATGACAGGGCATGTCTAAATGACATAGGAGCCAACTTTAAGGGATTCCTACTGGTCAAAGATGTCTAACTGACACAGGAGCCATTTTAAAGGGTTCCTGTTGGCCAAAGATGGTGCAGTTTGAGAGCCCACCAAAATATGACAGTATATTGAAAAGCAAAATTCCATTAGCTCTTAATGATACTTAAACCAAAACTCACTTGTCACTTAATGGAGGTTGCTTGAATACTTATTCTGAAAATGGTTCAAGAGAATGAATTGAGCACCTTTGTTGCTTTATAGATTAGGCAAACAAATAATTATTAGGATCATAGTTAATATAGAAAGTATTATAGAATTAGAAAATAATTTTCCATCCATAACTAAATAATAGATCACAGACATTTTGATGTAGGTATTAAAAAAGATAAAGTGAATGAATAGATAAGGATCTTTATAAGATTTGCTTAGCTGACCACATTTGAACCCACTGACCAGTTGTAACATCATTAAAAGTAGATCAACTGATCCCCATATACTGATATGAGACAATAGGAAGTACACATTACTATTACAGAACTTTTTGTCAAATATGAAAGAATCTAAATGTAATCATCCTTTTAGATCTAAGTGCATTATACAGGGGCTGAAGGTCATGCAGCATGATACCAAGCAGATACAGTGAGCAGATTTCTTTTTAAATTATTTATGCCTACAGAACTGAGGTGCAGGCCAGAGGTGCAGGGGGCAGTGAGAGGATTCACCAGAGACAGAGTGGGGAACAGAACAGACAGACTGTGGAAGTACACTGCTGAGGGGAACAGGGGGCGGTCCAGGAGAGGTCTGCCGTGCCATATGGGTCACCTCTGGGGCAGGCGGGGATTGAACTCATGCGGAAGTGGCTTTAGCTTCTCAGTGCTGTGCTTTAACCCTCTTTGCCACCAGCAAGGGCCCTGCAGCATGATTTCTTAACAGAAAAGTGACATGGGAAAATTTAAAAGAAACAAAAACCTCCAAATCTGTGTGAGAACCTTGGATTCTGATCTGATAAGCCATCTTTAAAAAGATATTTTTGAACAAATGGGAAAATTTGAGCTGTTCTGGGTATTAATAATAAGGGATTCTTATTTATTTCAATGAATGTAGAAGCATTGTGATTACTTGAAAAAAAATGTTAAATATACATACCAATTTTTACAGTTGAAAAGTTCTACATATATAGAACGTGCTTTAAAATTATCTCTTTTTTTCCAAAAAAGGAAATGGGAGATAGATGAAACAAGATAGCAGATACTTGGGAATTCTTAAAAATGACCAGGAAGTACGTCTTACCCTTTCTACTCTGTATATGTTAGAGAGTTTTCATAGTAAAGTTAAAAAAATTGCATAAGACAGGACTCATGACCTTTATACAGAATGATGATATGACGTAGAAATACCTATAAAATAGTCATTAGATTAGATTGATTTAAAAAATGATAGTCTCTGATGACTATAGTATTTATCAAAGAACTGCCTTTAGGTTCCAACTAAAGTAATAAATCTATGATGGAAATTTATAAAGCATTCACTAGTAAATTTTTCCAGTCATTATCTATTACTTATATATGGATCTCCAGTCATTATCACTTAACTTATACATTATATAATTTAACATGCAGGCCTTGCTAATTATTTACATGTATTGATTGATGCTTCAAGATTTTTTTTTTTTTAAAGATTTATTTATTTGTGCATACAGAACTGGGGTACAGGCCAGAGGCTCAGGGGCAGTGAGAAGCTTCACCAGAGACAGAGTGGGGAACAGAACAGGCAGATGGACGAAGTACACTGCTGAGGGGAGCAGTGGGTGGGTCAGGAGAGGTCTGCCACGCCATGTGGTCACCTCCGGGGCAGGCAGGGATCAAACTCATGTGGAAGCGACTTTTAGATTCTCAGTGCTGTGCTTTAACCCGCGGCGCCACCAGGGAGGGCCCTGATGCTTCAAGATTTATACTATTTATTTCTTTAAAAAGAAGCTCTTATTTTGTATTTAATTGTTTTTCCAGGAGAAACTTGATTATGCCTAACAGTTAAATATCTTAGAAGGACAGCTATACTTTTCCAGGATCTTTGGTACTTGAACATATCTGACTTCTTTCTCAATATGATATTTTCTATTATGGTTATTGTTAATATAAGACCCTTTTTTATAGTCAGACTGAATATATAGTCTGTTTAAAAATCGATACAGTGTTGCTTGGATTAAACAGATGTTGATATAACTAATATATTGTTTTAGTAGAATTTAAGGAACTAAGGGCCCTCCCTGGTGGTGCAATGGGTTAGGATGCAGCACTGCAAGCTGGCTACAGCTGCTTCAGTGTGAGTTCGATCCCTGGTCCGGAAGGTGATCCACATGGCATTGCAGACCTCTCCTGATGCACCCTCTGCTCCTCTCAGCAGTGTACTTCGTGGATCTGTCTGTTCTGCTCCCCTCTTTATCTCTGGTGAATCCTCTCACTGCCCCTGCACCTCTGGCCTGTACTCCAGTTCTGTATGCATAAATAATATAAATCTTAAAAAAAAAAAAAGAATTAAGGAACTGTTTCTCAGTTATTAAATAAATCTTGTGGGATCATACATAAATACTTCAGTTTTGAATACTTTAATGCTAGTTAGCAATGTGAACACTTAGATTTATTGTAAGTACAAAAGAAGTACAGAGATAACTAGTACATACTGTGTATGGTGCACTGCATATATCATACAGAGAAATACATGTACTTGAGTTGATTTTTCTTTAGTCTTATAATTGTGAGAAATGTACAAAGGTATTCTTGAGTGGCAAGAATAATAAAAACTACAGTAGTTACCTGAAGCTGTAACTACATATATATATGGCTTTCAATTAAAACTAATAAATTGTTCTGTTGATATCAGTAAAATAGAAAATAAATCTTATGTAAACTTATAACTTAAAAACACATTGACAAAACAATATAAAATATCTGGTGACTTTCTTATTCCATTGTTGACTATTGATGAGACCAGCCACATTTTCATTTATAATCTTTGAAGATTTTCAGTGGTTGTTCCTCATGCATTGCTTTATGTCTGAAAAATGAAAACTTCTAATTTACCTTTGCTCACTGCTTTTTAAAAATGTGTATGTATTTTACTGTATCTACAATATACATGATACTATTTGTTGAGCTTTTTAATTTTTTTTTTCTGAGTTCTTAAATGCCCTAATGAAGTATGAAAAAGCAAAATTTAAGTATGTGAGCAATCTGCTTATTTGTGGCTAATAGCAGTCTTACTTTACTCAAAGTTACAGCTTTACTCATGTTTAAACTTATTATTCCAAATTTCTTATTATGGAATTAGAAAAAAAATTGAGTTCTTTTCTTTGTCCCTTTTATTTCTTAGTTGACGAAAGACCAGAGATTGGTGTATTCTGGCAGACTGCTTCCTGATCATCTGCAGCTAAAAGACATTCTCAGAAAAGTAAGCTTTTTGTACCACTATATGATGCCAGATACATTCAGAGCATGAGAGGAGCTGTGTTTTATTGATGTCCAGCCAATTGAGTTTTTAGATACTTATAATCAGATATTTTGGGTAGCATACTAAAATAAACATGAAGAATGTAGAAAGTAATAAATAGTGATAGATCTATTTTTTTTCAGATAGATTCTAACAGTTTTGAATGTCCATCTGATGGTTAAATCTGAAACATACATATGTATTCAGGTATTTGTTACCTTATATAAAAAAGAAAGCACTATTGATTTTTCAGTAGTGCAAGAGTAGGATCTTCAGGTACCAGTACAGGATTTTCATTGATGATAATCTCTCTTTGACATTTTAATGCAAATTGATTAGCTTAGGAGTTTAATTTCAGGACAGGAAAAAGAAGGAAGTCCAGTTGGCTCGTGAATCAAGAGACTGAGTGGTAGGGCTCAGAGCTAAAATATGTTTCAGTTCACATTTTTAGCAGTCAGCTTGAATAATATTTACTTTAATGGTAGCTTTTAGTTCATGCTCACTTTGTAATGCTTATACTTTTAGAAGAAGATGCTTATTTGCTTGGGAATATAAAAAATTTAATTCTAGTTTTTATGTAATATATAATCTTTGACTTAACTTCTAATGTTCTGAATTTCTCTGATTTATATCCTCTCCTGTGTATTTATGATCACTTATAGGAAACATTAAAAATCTTTATTGGTGTATTTCTCTGTTAAGGTAGTTGACATTTTAGCTTTGCCAGAATGACTTCTTTATTATTTTCATTTTAATCTTGTAGTTTCAGATTACCAAAGCGGTTTAATAGAGGAATTTGCAGCAGGTTTGTTCTCACTTGCTAAGTAGACTTTATTTTTTAGAGTAATTTTAGGTTCGCAGTAAAATCGAGCAGAAAGTATAGAGATTTCCCATATAGCCTATACCTTTACACATGCACAGCCTCTCCAGCTACCAATATTCCACACCAGCTGGGGAGTACATTTTTACAATTGATGAACCTACATTGGTGCATTATTGTCACCCAAAGTTTACATTAGGGTTCACTCTTGGTACTGTACATTCTGTGGGTTTTTACAAATATGTAATGACATGTACTCATTATTATATTATCATACAAAATAGTTCCACTACCCTAAAAGTCCTCTATGTTACGCCTGTTCATTCACTCTTTCCTCACTTAATAAGTCTTTCTGGTTTATGCTCTTTGAAATACAGATTTATCATTTTAACCCAAGAGTCTCTCATGAATACTATTTAAAGACAGAAATGATTTAAGAATTAAGAAATCTCCAGTCAAAGGACTGTTGTGCCTCTTGTATAGAACATTTTGAATGCTATGTTTATGTTTTGAGTAGGCCCCCCCTTTTAATGAAATGCTTGCACTAGTTTAGCTGTTATATTTTATAGAAATAGTCTGCAAAAGTGAATAAATGAGTTGTGATATATATGACCATTGAAACTAAGTTTATAAGAATAAACATCTTATACTTGTGTGCCTTTTAATGTTCTATTTTCTGAAGCTAAGGGGATATTATATATCAGGAGTGTCTTCTGCCTTCTTTTTTAGGTATACCTCATGTCATGCTAGCTCTGAATGCCTCTCTCTGCCATGAGCTGCTCCTCCTTTCCCCAGCTACTTTTTCTACACTCCTAACACATGTAGTAGCTTTAACTCAGTTTTGTACAAAAGACTTCTATGTATTTCTCTAATTGTGCTTTAAAATATGTTCTGATTTTTGAGCAATATCAACATACTCAAAGAAGGAGCTGACTATTAGCCTTGGATTTACTTCAAAATTAAGGATAATTATATTTTTATGTAGGTTTTTGCTAAATTGTTAGTTTTGGTAGCTTTGCTTCTCACACTGAGTATCTCTTTTTTTCCTTGAACCCTTTATTCTGTCTTTTTCTGAAATGTTGCATCCTTTGTTCTTCTTTACTGAAATACACTTTCCTTTCTCCATCTTATTTACTTGTATTGTCCCTAATTATATATGTACTCATGAAGTTATCAAGCTAAAATGCTAGTCCTAATAATTTCTACTAGAATGTTTTCTTTTGTCGTAGTAGTAGGTTTATAGAAATACATGGGATATTTATAGAATATAGTTCAAATACATACTTTGCATTTGTGTCTAATAAGTTAAGTTATAGATAAAATTGACTTAAATAAGTATATACATCTCCTTGCTAACATTTAGGCAAATGAGAGTATGGTGAAGTTATTTGAGTTTGTTACAGCTAAAGTAGTGGAAATATTTTCACTACTCAAAGTTTGTAGGATTAAACTTCATTGTCACTATTACAGATCTGATATTAAAGTGGTGGATGTTGGGACCTCTTGGTGGCACAAGGGGTTAAGTCTCAGCACTACGAAGCAATCCACAGCCATTGCAGCATGAGTTTGATCCCCAACCAGGGAGGTGACTCACATGGTACAGCAGACCACACCTGTCCCCTCAGCAGTGTATTTCAGTCAGTCTACTTGTCCTGCTACCCACTCTGTCTCTGGTAAACCCTCTCAGCTCCCTGCACCTCTAGCCTATACCCCAGCTCTTGTATGCATAAATACATAAATCTTTATAAAAACAAATGCTAAAAAAAAGTGGTAGATATTTTTATAGTGAAATAATAGATTATGTTGCACAGTGTTACAGTATTGTTTGCTCTAAGTCTCCCTAATATACAGAATAGTCACTTTTTTATTGAGCTTTCAAAGTAAATTGACTGTTTTAGGATTTTATTACTTATAAAATGGCTGTGCTAGTAAGGAACTTCAATTTTGAATTAAGATTTTCACTTTAGCTACCAACTTTTGGAACTGTGTTTTCTAGTCCTATCCTTTAAATGTGATCTTCTTTAATTTTAGCAAGATGAGTATCATATGGTTCACCTAGTATGTACTTCTCGGACTCCTCCCAGTTCTCCAAAATCCAGCACCAGTAGAGAAAGCTATGAAGCATTGGCATCCAGCAACAGTTCTGTGAGTTGTTTTGGGAGGAGTGAACATTAAACTTTTCTTATTATCCTTTTTTTGACTCTAAAAATTAAGTGCAAAGCAGAATAATTAGAGCTTGTAGATTTTGAGATTGTCTTTTGAACAGCTTGAATCGAACAGTTAATTCACTACACATTGTTATCCCTTGAAGCCTGTTCATCATGAGTTGTAGTTTGCTTATGGCAGATCAGTAATAGATACAATATTTATGAGCTTAATTACTAAAACACTCAGAAAGCAACTGTGATATAGTTATATGATATTAAATAAAATGAGGGCCAGTAAAATGTCAGAACTATTTAAGATATTTACTGTAGTTATTTTTTTTCAAGGTTATTTATTTATGTAAGTTTTAAGTGTTAATTTTCTTGGTGCATATTGCTTGCTCTCAGAAGTTTTGTTTTCTAAAATGATGGACTTGTGTATAGCTTCAAAATGCAGGAGGATAAGTTACTTAACCTATTATTCTCTTTTAGAATTGGGTTTTTACTCCTTCGTTTTTTAGCTGGCTAAAATTGTTTTGGAAAATTTTTCTAATAGTTGGACTTTTTAACAGACATTTCTGTGACTTGTAAATATTCTGTCCTGAAGGCTTTCATGTTGTACCATTTTTTATTTCCCACATGAGTCTTATTTGATACCTTTGGAGGTATCAAAATGATTGGATACCTGGAAGCTTCCTTTAAACTTCTGGACAGGGAGATTTATATTGCTGAATTATGCATTCCTTTTTGTGAAGATGTAGCCAAAACTAAGGGCCCAAGAGACAGAGATGACAAGTAATCGAAAAAACTTCCAGTAGATACTAGTTAGCTACTTCTTTAAGGAACTAGATTTTCTATTTGTTATATAAATATTAGTTGCTATATTCAATGGTAAGTATTTTCTAGTACCAGTCATGGGAATTTAGCTTACATTAAGCTTATATAAGTTTTTGACAGTTAACTCAAGTGTCTTTTACATTTCATATCTTGCTTAAAAAGAGACAGAACATTGACTTTGGCAGTTGGAGTTCTGTTTATATTCTTTGGATACAGTTGTGTTAATCTAGTTTTTTGATAAAGGTCCTTCTGACTTAATTGACTAGTGGTTCTTCAGCTATTATTTTATGTCATCAGTACATATAATTCAACTTTTTCAAAGACTATTATTAAAATCTAAAAGTATCAAAAATTAAGTTGAAGCTGTTTTAATTTTTTGTGACTGAGAAATTTCAGTAGGATTTGAAAATATTTAAAAAATCAAATCAGGAATGAGTTACATAAGTCAAAAATCATTTGTTTCAGAGACTTTTATCTGTGCTGTTATATAGCTAGACTTATTTCCTAATAATTTTTAAATGAAACACCATGGTTCATGTAATGAAAAATCTTGTTGCTAAAAAAAGTCTTTTCCAGTTTATGTTACTAAGAACCAGATTCCCTAGTAAGATTATTTGGAAGCCATTTTGTTAGAATAGCATTTTAATGAAAGTTTTTGTTTATTTTGCAAAAGATCTGTGTCCTTGAGACATTTAAAATGGTAGGATTTAGGAAGGTAGCCATGCAATAGGAAGTCAGTGCAAGTAAAATACAATTTTAACAAATTTGGTAGAATGTAAAAATGATATTGTATTCAGTTTTTCAAAGGTGAAAGCTGTAATTTTTATAAAATATAATTGTTTTAAATTTACATAAAGTATTTGACACTTTAAACAGCAAAAAATTAGGGTGTCTTCAAGGGGTTATATTATTTAAGGTTATTTAATCTGTGAGGTACTGGCATCATGAAAATTTTAAAATCCTGATTATTATCTTTTTTATAACACTATAAGTAAATATCACACAATATTTGTTGTGTTTTTATGGTAGTTTTATAACCCAAAAGAATCTTGAAAACTTAGTCAATATTATTTTTTTTTTAGAAGCTGACACTTTTAAGAGGTTAAGTGAACCTTTAAGTTTATGTTTTGTTAATGTCAGAGATAATATCAGTTTGTAGTTCTTCTGATTGCTAGTGTACTCTCATTATTTTAAACCAACATTTTCAGCCAGCATGTTATACAACACCTGGCACACTGTAATTTTAAATAATGCAATCATTTGTACCATTATTGAGAACTTTTTGTGTGTTAGGGATGTGAAAAGTGCCTTTCTTTAATCCTCAAAACTTAATATGCTACTTTTGTATACAATTACTACTCAACATTACTAGTGGATAAGTGTGAGGTTGGATTAAAAAAACATTTTGATTTCCTTAGCTCTATAGTCTCACCAGAATTAAAGTATCTACTTTGGGCATAGGATTCAAATCAGCAAATTCATAAAGTTTAGTTATTTAAAAAGGGGATTTTATAAATACATTTTTAGCAGTGTGTTTGACTTAAATCTCCTTGAAAAAATAATTATATTTTTGTTTGTAGAGTTCAGATCAATCAGGATCAACAACTCCATCATCCAGTCAGGAACCCCTGTCGTTAGCTGCCAGTTCACCCTCAGAAGGATTAAGGCAACGTACCCTTCCACAAGCACAAACCGACCCAGCACAGAGTCATCAGTTCCCATATGTAATGCAAGGGTGAGTGAAATCATGGTAACTGTGGGTAGCCCTCTTTTTTTTTTTTCTAGGTATAAGTGACATAATGTTACATTGTAGATCTCTTATAAATCTGTTACTTATAACTTTCATGGTAGCCCCTCTGAAGCAATCCAAGTATAGTTTAAAGTTTATTTATATAATTATGTGTTTTGCGATTTTAGAGGGTTTAGTATAGCAGTTCACTTGAAAGATGGTAATATAGCTGCAGCATCAAGGGCCATGCTTTTCAGTCTTTAATGCTCATGCTGACTATCAGATTCTGATTAGTAGGTCTAATAGCTCCTCAAGTTTTATATTTCCAGCAGGTTCTCAGGTGATGCTGATGCTTCTGATGCATAGGCCACATTTTGACTAGCTGGGACCTAGGTGACTAAAAAAGTTGTTGTCTTGTTATAGTTCTATCCAGATTAGTTTTCTGGGGAACAAGTGGGTGAATGAAGTGTTCTTGGAAGAATATAGCAATTATTAAAAAGTTCCATAGGTATATCTAATCAGTAAAACTGATGTAGGGTAAAATTGTGAGTTATTTTAAGGACTGTATTGTATAAGTTTGTTAGTACATGTGTCTAAAGTCTCTGCTAAAGGAGTTTACTTAAGCTCCTATTGCTATCTTATACTTAGTAATTACAGCAGACCTCTTGAGTTATGCAACTCCTAGGGAAATTACTGCTACCAGCCATAGTACATCTTTGACCACTCAAAGAGTGTGGTCATGGAGAATATAGATTGTACCTGGTTTTTGTCTGAAACCATAGTACTTTGCCCAGGAACTATTGTTACTTTTGAAGTAAAGGAAACGTGAGTATCAGGTAGTGATAATTATTTTACATTGCATGTTAAACTGTTAGTCTTAAGTGTGTGGCTCTCCTCCAGATCCATGATGGTTTGAGAGTGAAAATAAAGAAATAGGTAGAACCCCAGAATGGAAGTAAGTGATAGAACTAAGTAGCAGCCTTTGATTGCTGTGCTAATAAACAAGATAGCATGAACTTTCAGTTAGCTTTTTACTTAAAACTTTCAACTTAATTCTTAAGGTAGAAGGGCAAAGATGACTATACAGCAAAATATAAGGAAACTTATTTTGTCTCATATTTCTTGATTGTGAAGCTTTCTTCTGAAAATAAGTATTTGGATGAGACTTTAGAAAGTACCTATGAAGCAGCTTTTATTTTTAGAAAATGATTACTACAAATCAAAACTTAAATATAAAAAGCACTATTCTCTGGGTTCATGTTATAGAATAGTAACTTAAAATACATTGTATTTTAGGTGACTCACTTCCTCTTTTAGTGGAGTGAGACAGTTCAGTTCCCCTGAGTTTATACAGAGTGCTTTTACTTACTTGTTTTAATCCAGTAGTAGTGATGTAGAGTAGTGGGAGTACTAGGCAAATAATAAACCTGGAAGCTTATTCATTTCCCTAAACTAACTATTGAGGAAATCAACAAATAAGAGAGATAAAGGCATTTAGTTTCAATAATATATTAGACAGATTAGAAAAATCTGACATAGTATTTATTTTGTAATAAATTTTTGTAATACCTTCCACTAGTCTGAGTGTACTTTTTTAAATTAGAAATATTATCCTATGATAAGTAGAATAAACCTTTCTATCAATAGAAAACATAATGCAGACTAGACATATTTCCAGATCCATAATTTATAAAATTTATATGGGTTTTCATCATAAAGCTATACCAATTTGTATACTCTATTGAAGAATGTATATATTTGGCTTTACTGCATAATGAACTCAAGGTATCAGTGGCTTAAAACGACATTTTTTATTTTCCTTACTCATGATGTGTTAGTCACTTGGGACATTTCTTTTTCAGGCTATAGATTGAATTCAGATCGGCTTCTTGTTTTTCATTTTCTGTGGCCCATTAGCACCCTAGGGCATGCTCTTCTCATGGCAAATGACAAGACCACAAGAATAACCGAGTGCATAAAATATCTCTGTGTGGTTTACATTCTTTAACACCTCACATTTCATTGGCCAAAACAAGTCACCTGGCAGTAGCATTTGGATGGGGAGGTATTGCTAAGTTTCAAGCAATGCTGGTGACAACTTAATTTTCCTGGGTGGGGATAAGGAGATAAAGCTGAGTTTTAGTATTTGCTGATTTCTGTGGTGTTTCATGCTTTTTCCATGACTGATTCAAGATATACTAAGGGTGAGTTCATAAAATTTTGAGCTTTAGCAGTTAGTTTTGTAAGCTGGTATAAACTGGCACAAGCCAGCTCTGTCAACGTATGGCAAAGTGTGCTTATATAATCCTTTTATAGAAGAATTTGAGAATTGGGGCAATCTTCTAGCATAAATGTTGGGTTATTGAATTTTTTTTTCCCCACTAAAGATAACTATCACCACAATCAACATTCTTAATCCTACTTACATATTAACAAACACTCTTTTAGATTATGTTTTGAGAGGGGAATTTCCCAGGTCAAAATAATCTTGAGTTTTGGAGGCTCCTAAAGACTATTAAAAAGTTGCAGCAGGGCCCTCCCTGGTGGTGCAGCGGATTGGAGTGCCACACTGCAAAGCTAGCTAAGCCAAGTGTGGCTGCTTCAATGTGAGTTCAATCCCCTTCCTGGAGGTGATCCACACTGCGCTGCAGACCTCTTCTGTCTTGTCCGCTGTTCCCTTCAGCAGTGTACTTTGTCTATCTGCCTGTTCTGCTCCCCACTCTGTCTCTGGTGAAGCATCTTGCTGCCCCTGCATCTCTGGCCCATATTCCATTTCTGTATGCATAAATAAATAAAATCTTAACAAAATTGCAGTAAAAAAAATTATGCCAGATTACTCTCCCAGTAACAATTGCTTTCAGAGAGCCCAATTCTCTATAATTTACAAATACATACCTACCAATGTGATAAATTGGAATGCCCTTGCTTTATTTGTGGCATGAGAAAAACACTCTTTTTGTTTTGTGAAACACCTGTTTGTTGGCCTGTTGATATTTTTTTTTTTTTTGGCCTGTTGATATTTTTAAAAATTCATTTATGACAGTTCCTTATCAAGGATGGTATTAAGCATAATGCATACTGAACACTTAGTCCAAGTCACACAATGTATTCAGCACTTACGTGCTTAATTGTATTGAACTTTACACCAGATCTATGATCTAGGTGCTATTTTCACTTAATGGATGACAAAAAGGAGGCTTCAAGATTTTATGGTTTGTCTGTGTTCATAAAAGTCAGTAGCACAAATAGGGTTCAACTCCATTCCGACTTGAAGTTAACAGTCCTGTTGAAGTGACTGTCTTGTGATTTGTTTTAATGTTTTTTTTTTTCCTCAGTGTCATTTGTATTCTGATTTCATTTATAATGGTGGTTCTCTCTCTTCTAGTCAGATCTACTGGTCATATTTTATGTATTGGCGACTGAATAAACAAAGTATAGTGACCTTTTGACTTTACTTAGTAAAGTGTACTTCAGATTTTGTTGTACACTAAGCAGTGTACACAGGAAAATGAACTATGTATTTGTTTTTACTAGAGTAAGTCAGATAGGAGAATGTTACTATCTGCTGATGCGCTGCCGTGTTCTTGAATAAAGAACTGTGGGAGTCCAGGGGAAGGAGTGACTGGTTCTGCTTAGAGGAGAGGGGAGAGCTTCGTAGGTGGTAACATTTGAGGTGACTTTATGGGAAGTTCAGCAGAGAGAGCAAAGCAAGCGCTGAGTCTTAAAAAGTCATATTCTGGAGCAAAATGGAGATTCAAGGTAGTCCCTCTGTGGTTGTATGGACTAGTGGGGAAAGGAAGACTGGTTTAGAATAATTTGTTCCTGATTGTTGGTTTCCAGTTACTTTTACCTCCTTTTTAATTCTTAGCCTTTAAACATACCAATAGCTTTCAGGTACTTATTTAGGAATAGACTTTTTCTAATTCTTGGCTTTTGCCATAATCTCTATTGTCTACCATTTTCATGTGTTTCCATGAATTTCCTTTGCTCCCTTTTTCTGTGTCTAGTTTTTATTTTATAGTATAGGCTATTTGAAAAGGAAAAAAACTATCAGAACATGTGCCATCCAGTGATTTTCTCCCACATGAATACATAGCAGCATTTTCTTTACTGTACCTTTCCAAGGTACAGAGGAGAGATGAGGTTATCCTTTTTTTTGTTTTTCTTGCATAAAGAATGTGATGTTTTATGTAGAAATCGACATGCACATATTCCAAATAGTTAACATTTTCTGTATATTTCTGGTTTTATTTGCCTCTTTTCAGGAAGAGACACTCTTAACTAACAATTATTTTAAATTATAAAAAATATGTTTTTTGAAGATTTTGAGGGGGCTGGGAAAATGGTGCCAGATGCTGAGCTCACCACTGTCACATACAACTAGTTTGCAGCAGAATAAAGCCAGTCACTCCTGAAGCAAAACAGATGGTGACAGCATACATTAGGAGTAATATCTGGAGGAGCAGTGAGATAAAGAGTGAGCAGTGAGATAAAGAGGTTACCCACAGAGGCAGGTGCGGAAAGTCCTATCAGGCCAGTATGTCCTGCAAGTAGAAGAGTAAAACAGTCGAGAGTAGAAGAGGGCCCTTGCATGGTAGCCTTCAGCAGGATTCATTGAGCCTGGGCATGGGACCTGGAAGCAGTTCCACCAGTGATAGCCCTTGGTAGGATTCAGTGATCCCACGGACAAGACCTGGAAGCAACCCTTTGTAAATGCCAAAGGTGATAGATCAGGTTTTTTATTTTATTTTTGCTTTTGTTTTTAGAGTGTCACTGTGAATTTATGACTTTAATGTTTGTGTCATACTGTGTGGAGTATCTATCTACAGACTGAATATAGTCATTCATCTTTGTACTCATATTGCTCCATGTCAAGATGGGAACATGTTCAATTTGTCACCTGTGTCTGCTTGCTATTATTTTAGTAATTTTTGATAATGTCCTAGACTTATACATGATAAGATATCTGAGGATCATCTTGACCCCATTCCTAGGGAACCCAAATGAGAAATAGTACTTGGAGTAAAAAAGTTTTGTGGTTCTTTAGGATTTATCCTATTAGAGATATAAAGATAAAGTACTATCTTTTAAATTCAGTAGAATAATTCTTCTTTGTGTGTTTATACCATCAAACTTGATACAGCTTCATTTTATATCATCAAACTTGATACAACTTCATTTGTTTCTTTAAATTTTTAATATCTGTTTTTTTCTAGCTTTTTTCTTAATTATATAATGTGGTTCTATGGTTTCTGTCTTAAATCATAGAAACCTACTTTCATTTTTATTCCCCTCTTAAGTTCTTTCCTTCTATGTATACTATTTTTTTTTTGCTTATCTAGCCACTGTTTGTGAAAATTTAAGAAAGTATATGTATATATACATGCACATAGATTATATATACACTTAACTTATGTGTGTATATACATACACACACAAATACTACCTACTTGTTCTAATTCAGAAGGTAGATTATTATCTGTATTCTCTTGGTTTTTAACAGACTATTCAGGGAGAGGTTACCACACAGGAATATATTAAGATCATTTTCTTTACCTTTTTGTAGTAACTCACTAAGTGCATGAACTGTGATATCCAGTCTCCTATTAATGAATATTTAGTTGTTTCCTGTCTTTATTCTTAGAAAATAATGTTATTGTTTATAACTTTTTGCATATATCGTTTCACTTTTGCTCTTTTATTTAAGATACATTCCTAAAATAGAAATGGATCAAAATATATAGGTCAGAGAGTAAAATGCCTTCATAGATGTGAAATTAAAAACAGGCAGTTTTGATGTGGTGTTAAGTATTGTATGATAAGGCTCTCCACCCACCCCCCTTTCTTTTTTTAAATCCTGAATTATTACCTTTTCCTCTAGTTTCTCTGTATTATTAGGAGAAAGAGGCCTGGGAATGGGAATAGATTTATTATGTGGTTCTTAAGAGGGATGAGTATGTACAAACATTTACAGAGCAAGATGTGAGATTTTGTCCATATTTCATATTTCTTTAAGCTTATTTTCAGAAGCCAAATTATTTGGGCAGTGGGGTATAAGTGAACATATTCAAGGGTATTCAATTTCATAAAGTTTTTAAAAAAGGTTTATTCCTTTCATACTTATAGATGATTTATACTTATACCCCTTGTCAATACTGTTTTTATTTTAATTTACATTTATTTGGTGTCCTAAAGATGATTACTCTTTCTGTGAGTTTATAGTAACTATATCACAGAAAAATAGTAACAGAAAAATACTTTTTCTAAGTCCTGTCTCTTTAAATTTTATGACCTTAAATATGTTGATTGCTTTTCTGTGTTTTCTTGTATTGTTTATAAGTTAGGAAGTTCCTTATTACAGAAACTTGGTGAATGGTCAATTATGGGATTTTTTTTTTCCCTTTGGTTTAACTCTTAAAATTTTTTTTTTTAGTCCTTTTAAGGCTTAGTTGACTATTTGGAATGAGATAAAGCTTTCTCTTCACCTTTTCAACAATCACTTTTTCCAGTACAACAGAGTAATCATTTCTATCCTCTTAATGATGCATCATCTAGAATATATTAAATTTCTGATGTAATTTTCATTGACATGTTATATATTTTAATAATAACTCATAATTTAATATCAAATAAATCTTTTATTTCTTATTTTCTGGGAAGTGGGGCGAATAACATCTTTTTAAAAAAAGATTTATTTATGCATATAAGAATTGGTTTATAAGTGGAAGGGTGGGGTGTGGGGGTTGGGGGTGGGATGGATCTAGGGGGGAGGGTGAGAGGAGGGAGCAGAACAATCTACTGAAATACATTGCTGAGGGGAGGAGCAGGTGAGAAGGGAGACGTCTGCTGCCCATGTGTGTCAGCTGCCTGGTGGGTTCAAACTCTTGCTTCACTGGCTGGTGATAGCCTGATAGCCCTGTGTCTTTAACCATTGTGCCACCAGGGAGGCCCAAATAAGAATAACATGTTTACTGAAGGATAATTAACACAACTGAAAGGTGTAGTATGGCAGCTTTGGCCTGGAGTATATCTTAGTAATATATAGTCAAGTAGTTCTTATCTTAGTTGAGAGAAATGTTGGAAACATTTAGGGAAGTTATTTTTTGACAACATATTTTAGTAATCAACTAATTTTCTTTGCTGCAAGAGGATGAGGTGGGAAGCTATAAAATTTTTTTCCAAGTGATTATTAATGGTCTTTTCTTCCCTTGAACTTTCAAAAGAATGACAAAATCCCATCTTCCTATTTTGCAGCTGAATTAGTGGACTTTTTTGAGGTATAGTATTTTGTCATAGTGATATAAATTGGTGGAACTCTAGTTTCAGGGTAATGGGTTTTTTCTTTGTTGGAAATACTAAGAAAATTTAAAGTATGCATCATAGTGTTGTCAATGCTATATTTAGGTATGAGATTTGCTTAAAGTACCCTATGAGGAAAAGTTCTACTACTACTATTTTAGAGATCAAGAAACTGAGGCAGAGAAGTTATGTATAAACTTCTACAAATTTTGCTAAATTAATAGAAGTTTATCCTATTTTTACAATGTATATGTTATATTGATCTTGATTCTTAAGAAACTATTTTACAGATTTTTTAATGCTCATTTTTTATTTGCAGGTTGCAGTTGCTATATTTTAAATAATAATATTCTATACAATATCATTTGGCTAGTTTCTCTATTCCTCTTAATATTTCATCAAAAATTAATTTAAGGGCTTTGATTTATATGGAAGAATGTATTAACAATGAATTTCTTTTTTTACTTCTTATGCAGTAATGAGAAGATATCAAATGTTATCCTCTTACCATACATTTTGTGGATGATTTCTGTATATTCCCATTAAAACTGCTTGAAGTGTTTATTATTTTATATTCTTGAGGTCAGAGTGTGTCTTACTTAGGGCAGAATGTATTATTATTTTTTAATTTTTATTTATTTATTTTTTAAGATTTATATGTTTGTGCAAACAGAACTGGGGTACAAGCCAGACATGTAGGGGTGGTGAGATGATTCACCAGAGACAGAGTGAGGAGCAGAACAGGCAGATCTTTGAAGTACACTGCTGAGGGGAGCAGCGGATGGGTGAGGAGAGGTCTGCCATACCATGTGGATCACCTCCGGGGCAGGCAGGGATTGAACGCATGTGGAAGTGGCTTTAGCTTCTTAGTGCTGTGCTTTAACCTGCTGCGCCACCAAAGAGGGCCCAGAATGTATTATTTGAAGAATATTTATAATATGTTTCTTTACAGTAAGAGTGATTTATCAGTGGGTAGCTTCTGGTTCGCTTTCAACTTCTAGAACATGAAAGACTTTATCTCTTTATTGCAGAAATGTAGACAACCAACTTCCTGGGCAAGCTGTTCCTGCTGGGTTCCCTGTATATCCTGCTTTCAGCCCACTGCAGATGCTGTGGTGGCAACAGATGTATGCTCATCAGTATTATATGCAATAGTGAGTTGATTTGAATTCATGTTTTTTTCTCACTATGTTATTTGCTTTACTTGCTTTTTCATCCTAAGTAAGTTGATTTTGAATTTCACTTACTAATGTATTTATTGGTCATTTAAAATTGTGAGAAGGAACTTGTAAACACCTCAGTATTTGACTAAAAGAAAACAGACTGACAACCATTTCACATCAACTAACCTGTCCTTGGCTTCTTCCTTCTTCCCTTACAGTTAGCAGTATTCAGATGCTTTCTGTAGTATAGGATCTTATCTATTTAAAAGGAAAAAAACTTAGGAAAGTTTCACTGGAGTGAGGTACAACAAGAGATAGGAAGCAGAATGAAAAAGGGAATAGAAAATATATCTGTTAAAGTCATGATGTAGGGTTCAGTTGTGGTAAGTAATGCTGTTTAGACTGTCAGTATTTTATAAGTCTTGCTTCTAATCAACATGGAACATTCTTAGGACCCAGTGCAGCTTCTCATCCTTCATTCTTCTGGACTTCTTATGTACTCATTTAATATTTCTAGTTCTCTTTTCTATTCTATATTTCTGTGTTTCTGTTATCTTCTTCATTCGTTTTGTCTTTCTGATTACACATTTTGTGTCTTTTACAATTATTTCCCCCTCTTCTTCTAAATGGAAACATTCCTTATTCAGTTTGACAGATATTTGTGTATGTACTATGTGCCTTATTCTGGCAATTGTTCTGGTAGGAAAAACAGGATTCAGTCTTGGGCTGGTCTTGGATTTCTTTCTTCTGTGGTCTGACTTGTTTGCATTCTGTGGATGGATGCTAATTCTTCCTCACCTGTGCTTTGTCCTGTGCTACCTCCACTTAATTGTTGGAAGATTTCCATAGGAAATTAGTCTTTCACCTAAATTCAGTATATTTAAAATTTGGTTCCTTTGCCCTCCTAAGCCTGTCTTCCTCCTTGACTTCTTGACAGTGATACTATCTCTTTTTAATAATCCTATAAGCTCTTAACCTTAATCAGCTATAATTTTGGCTTCTTTTATCCCTGAATCCAGCAACTTACCAAGATGAATTATGTTGTTTCTGTCCTCTCCAACATCTTACTTCTAATATCTAATTTTATATCTTACATCTTTTCTAATTTTAGACCCATTTTACTGCAGTTGCTCTTTTTCCTTTTAGGCTTTTCGCTATGTTTTGTCATACTACTGATAGGTTAACATCCTTAATACGTAATTGAGTCAGTCATACCCCATCTTCCAAAATATCTCATGACCCTCTTGCCTACTGTAAAGTCTGTATTCTTATCCTTCCTCCACGCCTTCCCCCGTGAAATTAATCTGCATGTGCCAATGCTCTCTCTATTGCATAACACTTTGGTTTCAGGTAGGCTCTTTGTACCTTGCCTGTTGCCATGGTACTAGCTATCATTTATATGACTGTTTCTTGCTTGGTACTCCACTGGATGCTTTCTCATTTATATGCCTCATAAAAGCTGTGTAAGTGGGGCTTATTAGTATCTTGTTACTAAATCTAAATGCATCATTTAACTTCTGAACTTTTAATGAAATAGACCACCTATGAATCTGATTATCCATGAGGTAGGCAATGTTTTAGAAACTAAAAAGTCAAGCAGAGACAAGGTATTAGTGTTCTGGCTTATATTGAATGCCTGAAAAACTTCTATTTCATTTTGCCTTTTGATTTTTAAACTTTTTACTGTAGAAACCTTTAAGCATATAAAAAGATAGGAAAAATAAATAGTAGAATGAATACCTATGTACTTGTTACTAAGTTTCATGTTTATCAATTAATGTCACTCTTGCTATAACTTACTCTCTGTGCTGGATAATATAAAGCAAATCCCTGATATATTGTTATTTTATTGGGAGCCTTTTATAGGAAAATTTATTCTGACTTAAGCAGCCAAGTAAGCAAATCTCAGACCATACTTCTTTATAGGTGTTCCATTTGGAATTCCTAAAAATCAAGATTGGGGTTGAGGGCTTGTTATCTGGGATCTAGATAATATTTTAAAACATTAATGCAAATCATTTATCACTGACAGTAGGCATAGGGTAATATATAAACATATCTATTAAAACATGAATCTGAGGGAGAGGGTGAGTGTGGGGGTTTAATAACAAAAGGGACAACTAGTGAAAAGATTTGATTATAAAGTAATTTGTGAAGGAGAGAAAGGTAATGATTAATATGACTATTTTTATCTCTTGCACTTCTCCCCTCCCTCTTAGATTACCAGGCTAAGAGAACATAATTGCCTGAGCTACTCCTGCCATCATTCTTGGCAACTTTTCCAGTGGGATTTGTGCTTACCTATGAGAAGTGGTGCAGACGTGATAGTCCATATTAGGTTTATGAAAAATACTTATGGCTCCCTAGGAAGTTTTGAAAATATAGTATGATAAAGGTTTTTTTCAATTTTTATTTTGGTGACCATTTCAGTCAAGCCGCAGTTTCAGCTCAGGCCACATCAAATGCCAGCCCAGCCCAGCCTGCTGCTTCACAGCCGCTACATTTGGCACATGTTCCTGGAGAAGAGCCCCCGCCAGCTCCAAACCTAGTTGCCCAAGAAAATCGACCAATGAATGAAAATGTTCAAATGAATGCACAGGGTGGTCCAGTGCTAAATGAGGAAGACTTCAATCGAGACTGGCTAGACTGGATGTACACATTCTCCCGAGCTGCAATTCTCCTTAGCATTGTATACTTTTATTCTTCTTTTAGTCGGTTTATCATGGTCATGGGAGCCATGCTACTGGTTTATTTGTGAGTGATATTCATTAACTTTTTGCAGTTTCTTTTACTTACTTTCTAAAACAGCATATAATCTGAGATATAGTAGATAGTCTTGTCATGAATGTTGAGTGAAGAAATATGAATGTTGAACTCTAGATATCATGCACCAAAAGCAAAACAGGTTATGCTGAGTAAGAATGGTTATCAGAATTGTCTGGTAGCAGATTTTTCCTTTATTGTCTTTTATAGAAATTATTAATTTAGTTAAATGTGATCTGTGAAGTTTCTTCAGGGACTTGAGGGAAATGTATGATGCACTTTCATGTAGTTTGTCCTTATAAATTATAGATATCAATAGTAAGTCCTATAATTGTTTTTCTTCATAATTAGACTAACTTTCCCCTGCTCCCCTTTTCCCTAACAGACAATACCCATTTGAATTTTATTTTGTGAAATATAGCAAAAATGATTTTATGATTCCTTATGTATCTTAGTACATAACATAGAGCCAATTAAGCCTGTGATAGACTTTTTAAAAAGATTTAAATGTCCATTTTGCTATCATTGCTTTATGAGGGATGTAGTTTCCTGGGCTTGATGTAGAAGATTTGGTATTTTCATTTATTAGAGCTTTAGGTGTTTTTCTCTTGTAAGATGCTAATGATGTTATAGGGTTATAGGTAAGAAGTTGTGACTTACTCTCTTTTCTCTTTATTTTACTGAACAGACACCAAGCTGGATGGTTTCCTTTCAGGCAAGAAGGAGGTCAGCAACAGGCTCCCAATAATAATGCTGAAGTTAATAATGATGCGCAAAATGCAAACAACCTAGAACTTGAAGAAATGGTATGTTGATGCAGCTTTCAAATGCTTTAAATTAAGATGTTTCCTGAGCACTGTGTGGTATCAACGTGATAAAGCATCTTGTCCAATAAGTGTTTATGGAATGGTACATGAAGAAAAATGAACATTAAACTTATGGTAGCTTCATCCAGGAGTACTTAGAATATAATGTACTAGAATTAAGTGAGAAAAACTAGCATTGTTCCTCAAAAAGCCTAGGAAGATTATGCACATGATAAGAATATATTACATTGAGTTATCCTTTGGATATGAACACTGAAGAATTTGTCAGTTTTGGACTTGACAGAGATGTCTAATAACTACTTGTGTGTTGCTCCTGTATTACATACTCATTTTCCTTCTTTTTTTTACAGCAAAAAACCTTAACTCTGCCCTTTTTCTGTCATGAGGTAGTGGCAGCTATACAAATCACTTAGGAGAATATTTCTTGTTTTGTTTGAAAGGAACGTCTTATGGACGATGGACTTGAAGATGAAAGTGGAGAAGATGCAGGTGAAGATGCCAATGCAATTCAAAGACCTGGATTAATGGCATCAGCTTGGTCTTTTATCACTACCTTCTTTACTTCACTGATACCAGAGGGGCCTCCTCAGGTTGCCAATTGACCTGAAAAACTGTACCAGCCGCAAAGGGAGGGCCTGACTTTAGGAAAGTGTTTTGAATAACAGTGCAATTTCAAAAAATTTATAACTTTCTTTTCATCATCATGTACAGAGGTTTTCTTTTTCTTTAAGCTTCTTATGCATATGAATATTTTAAGCACAATGGACTACTAAATCTGTGATTTTTTTTTTTTGAGATCCTAACAGAGTATAACAATATTGGTCTTCCAGGTTTTATTAATTTCAATTATGTATATTATATCAAGACAGACTTATTTGTGTATCTTATTTCTTTAAAGAGCTGCTTTACATATAAATGTCTATAACTGGTAGCCCATCCCTTCAGTGTGTTATTTGAATAAATATATCTATTTTCTGTGAATTGTTCTGAAAGTTTTAAACAAATGACCTCATAGTTTTTAATAAAGAATATTATTTACCTGAAATGTGCTAGTAGAATCTTGCCTAACAGAAAGCAATAAACTTCTCAACAATTTAAATTTGACACTGAGTAAATAATGAAACTTTCTATTCCAAGGGCATATATCCCATAGTTGGAATTAGTACTTAAAAAAAAAAAAGGCAGCTCTTCAATGGAATTAGTAGAGATAAAATGTTTGATACAGGCAGTACTTTTATAAAATAAGACATGCCGGAAATAACTTCCTGTAATTTTTTAAAATAAAAGGTCAATTATGGTAAACTGTCTTGTGGGCTATTTGTTTATGCTCTCTAATAATGTACACCCTCAGTGACTGATACATAAGGCAGTTAGTACTCTTGCACTTTGTTATTTTTAGCACTAGATGGTGGTGTAGCACCATATTATTTTCATTGCCATTGCTCTCAGAGCAAGATTGTTTCAGAATCATGGAAGAGAAGACTGACTCTTTCTCTACAGTGCCCACCAGAGCAACAGGCCGATAGTGGACATCCAGAGGCAGAAAAATGCTTGTTGGAAGTATCATTAATAGTAATAAAACATGGGAAACAATAGAAATATCTAAAAAAAAAAAAAAAAAGCATGGTTGGATAATTGAGGTGTATCCACTCAGTGGAATGTTGTTCAGTCTTTCTAGATGAGTTACAATCTCAAAAATGCAAATGGTTTTTTGTTTTTTTTAAGACTTGACCTCATGTGCATCCATTCTTAAAAACCTGCTGCAGAGTATGTTTTTAGTAGGAAAGAGTAGTACTCCAGACATTGGAGTTAAGAATTATAGACTTACCAAAAAATATATTTACTGTGCTCATGGAATAACAACTAATAAAGAGTAAATTTTAGAAAGGATGCTGTGGGATACTAGAAACAGGAGATCCTTCAGTGGAGAGGGAATCCTCAGGGTGATGATGAAGGAAGATCCCAGGATGGTGATCACTGTATATTGACAACAGTGAGTTCTTGTGACCTGAGGACTAAATGTCCTGGCAAGACTCAACCAAAACCTTGTCAGCACTTGTCTTAACTACATGCCATTACAGTTCCTGTGCATCTTCTCTGAAGAGTAAGAGAAGATTGCTGTGAATTTAGAAGGACAAATGTAAAGCAACTTCCTCGCTCTGAAGCTATTTCTGATGACCATTCCATACATGGTCCAAAGTACAGTTCTATTAAATGCTTTTAATTTTGTTGGCCCTTATGATCCAGGACTCATTCATGACCTCACTCATTGACACTCCCAGGAAGGACTCTTGCAAATTCTCAGGGCAGCCTCGTCCAGACTGTTACTCAGATACGTTGTTAGCCTCTTTTAAGAGCTGTTATTCAATGTCTGCTCTATCCTTCTCTCACAGTTAGGTTTGGGCTTCCTAGTCAATTTTTTTTATAGAAAAGCAAAGAGTGGATTAACCAAAAGTAAGGAAGGATGAGTTCTTGAGAAAGAGAACTGTGGTGGAGGCCATATGTGTTGAGCAGTACTATCTGGATAAAAAGGAAGACCACATTTGCCAATCTCCCTTGTAGTAAAATTGAGACCATTTAGCTGTTTTCACCAAAGAAAACAGGCCACTTTTTGAGAAAAGCATATATGAATTTACTATGCCTTCTCTTATTTGCAATACTTAACTAGAATCAACAATAATAACAACAAAACCAACAATCATCTAAAATGTTAGAATTATAAGATGGAAAAAACCTAAAGTCTTAAGTTACTGTTGGAGGTGTCTAGAGAGTCCCTTAGCAGGGACTGAGAAGTATGTGTATGTGTTAACCTAATGGGGTTATAAGATCTGTAGCAGCTACAATATACTGAGAGAACTTCTAAAATAGTCATAAAATTCTAAATTGGTTGATGTGTACTTGGATGTTAGTTTTATTGTCATTATTATAACTGCATATATTTATACCTTTTCTGTAGGTATGCGATACAATAAATTAAAGGTATGTGTGTTACATTACACAGTAACACTTAAAGTCACCTTGTATATATTATGACCATCTGTCTTAGATTAAAAGTCAACTCAACCTGTTAGATATAGGAGTATAAATTGGAGCTGTGTTTTGGGAAAGCTTTTTGTAATGTATCAGTAACCTAGATAATATTCTTTGGATAAGTAATAACTCCACTTCTAAGAGTTGAACATACAGATAAAATCCTAAATGTTTTATGCAGAAAGATGCTCATTGCAGTATTATTACTAATAGTGGAAAATGGGGAAAGAAACAATGGTTTGTTAGAGTGTATTCATTTAAGGGAATGCCATGCAGCTTTCCTAAGTGATTGATACTTGTAAAGAATAAATTGAAATCTCAAAAGTGCATACAATAGGCTAGATGAAAACAGGATAATAGATAGTAGAGCTATGTAAAAAAAATCATGAAACAAAAATCTCTGAACCTCATACCTGTCAAACCTATTCTATGCCTCAATATTCTTTATATCATTAGAGTAATTTAGGCACGATGGTTGAACTTCTTAGTTTCTGAGTGTGTTTTTCCCCTATGTTTTAAAATAATTTTATATTTTCAAGGTTTTCTAAATAGTGCAATAGTTTTGTTATTTTTATTCAGAAATACATTTTTTACTGTCTAGGATCCAGTAACTACTTAGATGATCAGAATAAAGAGCTAAAAGTGCTCCCTGAGACAACTCCTACAGTAACCATTCCACGAAATATAGATTTTAACATTTTATTATACATTGTCTTGGGTTTTTCCTTATCGCTTTAAATATGCCCATTATATCTTCATCTTAAGTTTTTCTGCACATCTATATCTACATCCACACAAAGACACACAACAAATACAAATCATTTCAAAGTAAGTGAACTTATGTTATATGCATTATTATATAATTTGTATCTTATTCACTATGGATTTATTTCCTTGTTGGATCATTTCATTTGTAATTTATTATTAAATAAATCAAAATTTTAAAAATAATTTAGATACAATCCAACATATACACTTTATGTTTAGGGGAAAACAGCATAAAATTACAAATGACATCATTTCTTCTAGAACAGTTTTCAAAATTCTAACACTGATTTACTAAATATGATTCAGTTCAGCAATACAGTTGATCATAGCTGTGTGTGAGGAAGGATGAAAGAAGAATGAAAATTCAGGGTCATGAAAGGGTTATATATATATATATATATATATATATATATATATATATATATATATATAAAACAAGGTCCATTTTCAGGGGCTAGCTTGTAACAGATAGCAGTGATACTGTTTCTCAAGTGAATGGGAGATGACCTCTGAAGTTTTTCCCATTGCTTTTATCATCTGGTAAGACATGACAAGATATTTCTGTTGTTGTAATGCTTCTTTCTTCCCAAGACTTTCCAGTCATCAAGGCTTTCTCATGAAGACACAAGACTCATGGATGAAGGGAGCTAAGCCTATCTCCTTTTTTCCCACCGAAAAACCAAACCACTCTCCCTTAGCATGGTAAATTCAACCCTTCATTTTCAGTTGTTTACTCTCTGTTAAGCCTCTATGTCTTAAAGAGGAAGACATTTTACCATTTCTCAAACGTCTTTCTTGCCTTACCACTATTTCTTTTTGGAAGGTTGCCAGTATGATGGAATCTCAGATCACAGACACAGGGTGGACAAAGAAAGACACAAGAAAGAGGTAAAAATGTCCTTAATGAGCTCACGTATCTTGATGAAACCTCTAATTGAATGAGAATAGATTTTGTTGAGAAGCTTGTACATGAACAATTAATTATTCATGGCAGAGGCATCATTAGGATTTCATTTTGTTTAAAGGCCTCTAAATGATTTAGGAAATTGGGTTAAGTGGGAGAAGAATTTCAAGAAAGAGACAAGGGAAAGCTTTTCATTATATTGACTTTTTCTGATATTTTCAAGATAGATATTATGAGTTGGCACATAAATTACATTCCAACTGAAAATCTTCAATGATTTGCCTGGGCAAGAGTATCCATATGGATGGACTTGGGGCTAGGGTGTGCAGATGGAAGCAGATTGACAGAGTTTTATAAAAAGAGTAGGACATTTATTCCAGAAATCTATAATAATTCAATTTGGTTTTTGGTTGCATTGGGAGTATGAGGAGTCTCCTTGAGATTACAACACAAAGTTTTGCAACCCATGACACTTTTACTCAATGATACTTTACCCAGGATGCTGTGGGAAGTTAGCACTTGCTCATTTACAGTAAATGGAAGATAAGACACTAATAAAACCCCTAGAGATCAGGAAACTTGTAGGTCCCATTGCCTGTTTATCTTAAGAACAGGTATTAGATATTGATATTGGGTTGAATTTTCAATATGGGGTTGATTCCAAACGTAGACGCCTAGGGTATTTTAATAGATAGCTATTGCATACTGGATCAATTTCAATTGGCACTTAAGAAATGTTGGTTGGCTTAATTCAGGAGTTTTGTATATTTTGCTTTTATTGTATCCTGAACACCTGGGACAGTGCCTGGTACCCAGTAGGGGCTCATAAGTATTAGTGGTTGAGACATTTTAAGTTAATTAGTAAATCAGAGCATGTTTGTATGGGGAACATCACATCCAGCAGGGATTGCTAGTGGGAGCATGAGTTGGTAAAAAGCAAATTTCTCTCTGGGAACTAACTAGGCCATAACTACTTCAGACAGCAAACATCAGGGTGAGCCTCCTAGGGCTGCAGTGTGGAATGGTAGTGAAGAAAATGTTGCTGACTGGAGTCAAGAAGCCTTGGGGTTGTGGTTTTAGCTGGCTCTGGGACCAACAACCACATCAGTAGTAGTCACACATATGGAAGATCTATATGTTGCAGTAGGAGAGAAAGAATTAATAAACAATAAATGCAACAAATAAATTCTACACCCTGTTAGAAGGTGATAAGTGCTAGAGAAACTTTTTTTTTTTAAATAGTGGTGGTCTGATGAGATTTTATTTATAAAAACCTACTTGACACATTTTTAGAAACCTGTTTCATGGAAAATAAGCTCTTCTCTTACTTTTATATAGTTCCAGCAGCAGATTCTTATAACCACTGCTTAACTGAGGATGGATTCATTAGCAATTCATATAGCTTCTATACAAAGGTAGCTTGAAGTTTCAGCAGCCAGCTTTGCCCCGCAGCTCAGTCATTTAATATCATGACCAATAACATAGTTTGTTTACCTCTACCTCTGTATTACATGAAGTGGTAAGAATGCATGCTGTTTTCATACCTTGACATGTACCACAGTCAGAATTTCATGAGAAA